CGCATGGCGACTTTTGTTGCCGGTTCTGGACCATCACTCGTTGTCCACGTTGCGACCGCTTCCGCGTCTCAGTCGAGTACCGATTCGGTCTTATTCATGGCCACCGTCGCACCAGACGATGTGCTCTGACCCAGAAAAAGATCGGTGTCCCTCGATTTTTGTTTTCCTTGTTGGGCCCATCCTTCCAACGAGGCGGCATTCAGCCTTACCCGTCCACCGATTCGCGAGACACGTATCCCTTTGTGTTGCCGGACCGGGGGGGGGGGTGGGGCGTATGAGAACCCCCCCTCGGTGGCACGGCATTTGGGCTTGGAAAAGCAAAAGGGGATGAGGCCCATCTTGGGGCCATGCCACGTTCGACAGGCGAACACATCGGGCCGATGGTCCATGTCATCTTCACCGGCCTTGACGAGTTCTACATTCTCCTTCCTGGTCATAAAAAAAAGGAAAAGATGATCAAGATATTCTATACGGAGCGAGTCGATGGATGACGGTGCGAACAAGGCAAGTGAGTTAGAGACAGAAGATTGGTGAACGGTAATTGTTCAGCAGCTGTCATTCTGATTCCTCTTTGCCTTACTAGTGACAGGATCTTGCTGGATGAGATGACTGCTTCGTATAACCAAACGGTGGTGCCCTTCCAAGTACGTTTCCTCGCCAAAAATACTGCTCACACGATCTGGGCAAACCTTTTCTATGTGTGCTATCACATTCTTCGCCGAAGCATCAGACGTGGAACACAGACAAGACAACGATCCTGATTATGCATGCACGGGCTTCGGGACAGACGAACCCTCAAAACTTGTCTCGTCTTGCTTAGGCTTGATGACGCTAGAATATCCCCACTGTCGACATCCTGTCCATCTCCATCTCATGTACCATTATTTGGACCTACGTCCAAAAAAAAAGGGGGGGAGGTGGGGGGCGGACGTCGTCATGAGTAAGGACGAGTTAAGCGACAGCCGCGGCTGAAGTCCCCGCCTCTCTTAGCCGTGATGTCGATACTGACGTCTGACGGGAGGGCTCCCATGCGAAACAGCCGCGAGAAGAGAATATGACAGGAACCCAGGGGGTGGAGGAGACCAAGGCAAGTAAGACGGATGCTTGCCTTGCATGGCATACAGGGGCACTTGGCGGCATGGTGCCTCCACACTCGGGCCTTGACTCGATGCATCTTCGGCAAGAGGGGATTTGCGCTCTGGAGATCCTGGTAGGTACAGCATGGGGCTCAGAAAATAAGCGTTGGTCTAGGAGGAGGGGGCATGCGGTGGTTGATCATGCAGGGCCACAGGCAGTCAGCAGAACTTGAACAGGCCACCGGTTGTATGTGCAGCAGAGCGAAAGTTTCGCACAGGGCGCCATGATTTTGGCGCTGTGGCGTAAATGCCATCGACTTCTCGTCATATGGACCACGACCTATGGTTGTGAAAGTGGGTGTGCCTTGTGTCTATACGTAGTGAGGCTCAGCGCCGGAGGCAACACAACCCGTGAAGGAGGCCCGTCAGCCGACATGAGAACAACGAGGCTCAATTGCTGGGTTCAGCCACAAGTTTTTTGCTCTCTAGCAAGAGCATGCACGATCAGCACCAACCAGTTCCTTAGCGACGAGGGCACCCGAAGCCGCGGGTGTGGCTGGGTGGGTGACCGATTCCTTCCCGGTGCCTATCTTGTCAGATTCTGGCGGCCTTTGGAGGAAACCATGCAGCTGGTTCTAAGCAGGGAAAGCCAGGACTCAATGAGGCTTCTTGTCCACATCAAGAAGCAAGACGCGATGCTGTATCAAATGCTACTGGCAGACACTGGCTGTTGCCTAGAGGTTTGAGGTAGGCCCGAAACGAAGGCGACGATCAGATGAGCAGAGCGGCCGGTGCGGGCGTGGGCAAACTTGGGGAAAGCTGCAGACGGATCTCTCTACTGACTGGCCGGCGACTCCGGGCTGATGAGGGGACGGGGCAGATGGGGAAAGGACGGGAGAGCGAGGATCTAGCAACATGGTTCGGTTTGTGAACAAGCCGTCCCTTGCTGACGGTCAAGCTTGAGGCTGTGTAGCCGCGACAGGGGTGGCGGGACCCTGGATCATGGGGTACCCAATGACATCAGGGTCAGATCGAAGACAATGTCTCTCTCGCTCGCCGACCAATCGCTTGCGGTTCCATTGGGCGTCGGGCAGGCCTCGGAAATACCCCTGCGTCTGGTGGTGATTGGTTCGTATGCTAGGCAAGGCTGATGAGCATGGCCTCTGTGCTGTTGATGTACGAAGTCTTGTTTTATGATATCAACTGATCGGTGTCGACCGAGATTGAGGCGCTTTACCATGTCGTGTACAAAGCATGGCTCCTTTTTAAGCTACACCGAAAAATAGAATTCGAACAAGATGTGTGACAAGGTGACTGATTGACGTCGGCATGCCTGCAGGCTACTGTCACACGGACACAGAATGGCGGGGTGGGCCGCTGTCGTTGGCGAGGTGTGGTCTGGAAGGGACTCGTTTCCTTTTTCCGATGACTCCCAACCGCCAGTGACAACACGTTTCGATGGCTGCTCGAGTTGGGTGCGATGAAGACCTGGTGGTTGAGGCAACAGGCTGCCGGGACTGCTTGAAGGGTTGCACTGCATGCGTGGCTGGATGGTGTGGCCGGCAGATGCTGTTGTTGGTCCTTGTGCGATCGGTCTGCTTGGGTCTCAGATCGGGTCCGCAACAGTGTCAGAGAGAGATGCTGTGAGAAATGGTCCGTCTCCGCCCCCCGGGGTGATGAGGTGCCAACTGCACGGATTTGGCCATCTCATTCGTCGGGACATGGACACCGAAGTAGAATGCTCACGATGCATCGGTGGACCAAGCCGTTGGCTCGAGTCGACGGGAGAGGAGGGAAGGGGGTGTGGATAGTCTGGGTAGGATGCTGACGGAAGAGGTGCAGATGCTGGTGCAGAGGCGCAGAAGTGCAGAGGCCAAAGTCATCGCTGACGATTTGGTCGTCTAGTGCTGTATTATTTTAGCATGCAATATGCAAGTCAGTCGTCTTTGAAGAAGGGAACGCTGATATCCAGGCAGCAGGCAGCAGGCAGTCGACGGTCAAACAGTTGTGCCTGCCTTGAAAGGCGGCGTAAACGGACACACAAGCCTGCAGCACCTGGAACATGTTCAAGACCTGCACGGTGGTCGCCTCCTGGGTACAGTGGAAAGCCCGCCTCGGAAAGAACATGATGCATCAGGGAGGGGGAGCTCCAGGCAGGCAGGCAGGCGGGCGGGTGGGCGGGTCCCAGCGAAGGAGGAACGGCTGCAGCACGTGAATCAGGAATCAGTCCTGTCACCATCAGGCAAAGCCAAGTGGGGTTCCTTAGGTCGAGGGCCTCAACTTCTTAC